AGAATCCAAGGATAAGAAAGCTCCTACTGGCACAGCCTAAACTGCTTCTCAGCACCCACCAAACTGAGACTGGACTGGATCACTGTTTAACAAGATCCGCACCTATCAGTTAGGCTGCTGGCCCACAGAAAAGAGCCAAAAGAGCAGCAGGAGAATGCCCTCTGCCTCCCTTCTGTTCTCCAAATCTCAGATAGTGTGTGTGATTGGTGGACCCTAATCCGTATGTAGGACCCTAATTACAGGGCAATCCAAGTTTCATTTTGCAGCCTCTAGATTATAAAAAAGCACACTAGAGAAGTTATGGGAACAGAAACAGAATAAAACTGAGTACCAATAGTGACTGTTAAAAAGAGCTTATTCTCCTAGAAAAAATACTCTAGTTTTTCCATATGATTGTCAGAAGCAAAAAGTAGAACATTAAAAAAAAAAAGAGAGAGAGAAACTGTCAACCATATGCAGCTCCAACTTAAATTACCTGAATTAATTGGTCAACTAACACTTCCAATCTATTTTTTCAGTAGATGTGTTAAAAAATTTTTTAACTCCATTGTCCTTTAAATGTTTTTGTCTCTGACAGTGTTGTGACTAGTTACAATGATGAAAGGAAAAGGAGAGGATTCATGTGTGGATGGATGGATAGATGGAAGGAGGGAAGGAGGAAGAGATGGATGGATAGATGATGATGATAGATAGATAGATAGATAGATAGATAACACTTAAATTGCTGCTAAAAATTTCAAGATCCTTTTTTCAAATGAACACTATCTGGAAATATATGATATCCATTAAACAGAAACCCTCGCATATGCAAAAATCTTTTATCTATTTTATTTTTAGGAATGCTGAACAACAAAGAATATTATGGAAGATTCCTGACATTTCTCAGAAGTCAGAAAATGGAGGTAATGTAATCACAGGCTTATTTTATTTACTACATAAAGCTGAAATAACTTTCGGATATTAGAAAACTATTAACCAAAATACACTTAGTATTAAAAGCAAGCAAAATATTTCACTTTATTTTGATACATACAAATTTTAACCAATAAAAGCAAATAATTCTTCAATGAATCCTCTGCTTCCTCTTTTCTACCCAAGACCCCACATCAAACAGGCCATACTTTAAGCAGAGAAGAGCTTTTAGTGAGGCATATTTCCATTCTGTATCAGATCTCACACTCTCTGATAGTTAAGATATTTTTCGCTTTCCTCTGATATTAATCATAAGCTGGAAAATGCATTGCCTTCCAAGTAGCATGCTCCCAAATTTTGAAATACTATTTGGCTGAATTACAATTTTATCAGTGTGCAAAAAAAGTCATGAATAATTTAATGGTAAATTTTATTCATCACCATTCTGTCACTGAAAAATATACTATGTTTTAGTAAGTTAGATTTTGCATATTAACTTTGAATACAATTTCCAAAATCACATCTACAATGCTGTATTGACTGTGATTTTGTAATAATACTCTTTTTACAGGGGTGGGTTCTTTATTGGCAAGATTTCAGTTATCGGAAGGCCCAAGCAAACCTTCTCCGTTGGTGGTGCAATTCACAAGTGAAGGAAGCACCCTTTCTGGCTGTGACATTGAACTTGTTGGAGCAGGGTATAGATTTTCACTCATCAAGAAAAGGTTTGCTGCAGGTGAGTGGGTATCTTGTGAGCACATTTGCAAAAATAACATTGCCTTAGCTGTTTTTCCTTAAGAGGAAAGACTTTGTGATTTTCTCATGTTCTTCCTCCTCCTCCTCCTCCTCCTCCCCCTCCCCACTCCTAGCCCCCATTTCCCATCCCAGTCAGAAAGCAAATCAATTGCTGGATGAAGTAAAACTCTGACAGTGGATTGCAAATCAGAAATTAGGAAGGCCCTGGCTACTTATCGTGGCTCTGGCTGTTTCTCATGTGGCACTGACCGAGATCATTTCCATTATATACATGTGTGTACAGTGAGATTAATGGAGCAAATCCTGCTTTTGTGATATTGACAAGATAAATGCCATTTACCTTTGAATATATCTCTTACCTGAACACTTTTTTTCTCCATCAAGTCTTCATAAAGTTTAGACTTGGCAGGCTTAGCTGAGGTCTGAGAGAATCCATCTTTCACTGCATCATAGCAATCGTAAAAAATCTAGGGCAGACATCAGAACTGGTTGCCCTTGAGCTGAATACAGTCATTGACAGGCTTGTGGCACACATGAAAGTTGGCTGGTGGGGGTTTCCCAGTATGAAGGTGATTATACTTGCCAGTGATTTGCTGGGATACGTCCTGGTTTTCATGTCTGCTGTACTGATGTAATTTTTAATTATACCCCTTTCACTCTCAGAAATGACCCAGGTGGAAAGTAATTCTATGATCGCTCTATAACAAGTTGGAGTCACATCCAGGAACAAGCCTCCCAACCTATTCTGGACAAAACCCAAACTTCTGCAAAGTGTTCATATATGGAAATGTGAAAAGGCAACTAGCTGGTCCAGAAAATAGAAAACTTAAAAGACTTTATATATTTTATGCTAGTATTGCACCC